ATCTTGCGTTATCGTAATATTTTTTTATCTTTGCGTCCCGAAATGTTAATATATGTTTTCTTATATGATCCGTTATATACGAGTAATCTTCAATCAATGAATAACAGAAGAAAACATTTAAACGACGCTATACAATGTATTGTATGCTTACAGCCGAGTACAACAAATTGTTCTTGTACTCGGCTGTGTAAAGCGAAGAAACCAGACATAAAAATTAAAGAGATAATTTTTTTTAATCTAAAACTATTTTTGGTACATCAAACAAGTTACTTTAATGGAAAGATTTTATTTTAAAAATTATTAGGCTTGAAATTACAATACTTAAATTCGTTTTCCACCTTTTCATCTGAACTAATTGAAGTTTATTCAATCCATTGGAGTGGTGTAATACAAGGCTGTACCTAATGGGGCGCGCAGATTTTAGCTTGAAGAAGCCCTTGTTAGGCCGATTGTATTATGTGATCTACAACTTACCTGCTAGTGCTTAGTTTACATGTTGCAAATAAAAAAATTAATAAGGAACAAAAATGTTGCATATGATCTCTAAATATTAAGAATTCAAGCTGTCACCAGCGACTCCGTACGCGCGGAATTAAAAACACACTTAATAAGTAGCCTGTGTTCTTCCAGACTATGTTATAGTACATCTATGCAAAATTTCAGCGAGATACATGCTGCCGTTCCGGAGATACCTTCAAACAAACATCCATCCATCCATATATAAACATTTGCATTTTTATGGTTCCGTACCTCATAGGAAAAAAACGGAACCCTTATAGGATCACTTTGTTAATATTAATATTAAGTATGATGAATATGTTACCCTATAATATACTATATCGCACTAGTTAGTATCTCCACATGATCTCCTTTAACCCATTTAACGACTTTATAATGCCGTAAATTATAAAACTTATTGTCAGCACAAATCAGATCTTTAAATACCAATATCTGACAGATCCCATAACTGTAAACTAGATTGATGTTTAGGTAGTTTTTGTTGAAACTTCGGATCATTGTCCACCGTAACGAAATAACGGTAAAAAAGACACATAAAAAGCTAGTGGTTGGTTCACGCTTTCAAGTCATGTTACATTTTCGACCTTATTAACATATCGAATAGCGAATGCTTTGTTTTATGGAGATACTAGATGTCGCCTGCGACTCCGTCCGCGCGGAATTATAAATAAATTAATATGTACCCCATGTGTTCTTCCAGACTATGTTCTACATCTATATAAAATTTAAGAGAGATCCGTTAAGCCGTTCCGGTGATAGTTACCAACAGACATCTATCAATCCATCTAAGCATTCGCATTTATAATATTCGTAAGATCTGTGAAAATATTAACACGCAATGAAACAGTTTTAATGGAAATTGTAATTATAATAATTTGACATGAGAGAGCTTTCGTATACGTAAGCCTAACTCAATGCGAGCTATAAATAAAGTGACCAAAGACCTTAGTCGAATGAATGAGTCTGCGAAACTATTGTTAGTGCAAACGATCGTCACGGTGAAAGTGTACTTCTATGTCGGCAACAATAAAAACAAACAGAGGCCGACCTAAACACGGAGACACTATTCTTGGACGAGCGATATTCCATTCATTGTGTTGTTCCATACGACACGATATCTTAATTTAGATTTTACGTATGCATGGAACGATTTATCAATAGTTTATTTGTTTGAAGTAAATCCAATTACTGAACTATAACTGCTATCTAATAGTAACAAATAATCAAATTAATAATAACGGAGTATATAATTAAAAACTTCATTTCTCACAACATAGAACAACCGTACCGTTACGTGAATAATAAGTGAAGGTCGTATTAGTAACCGGTTCAGAAAGTAACCATTAAGAGCTGACGTAGTAGGTTTTTTGTTCATTGTATTCGTTCTTTTCGCAAATTAAACAATTCAATTAAGTGTCGAGTGAAGTAAAAGAATTAAAGGGAAAGTGAAAGCGGAAACGTTGCGAAATAAAATTCGTAATGATAAAAACAAATACGTTAATCCAAATAAAGCGATAATTCAATCGATTCGATTTTATTTTAAATGGAGATATAATTTAGAATTTCCTGCTATTTTAATTACACTACGATATCCATCTTAAACAGCCACTTTAAAATAAATATTCGATGGAAATAAAATGTCATGTTTTAGTACTGTTCCTTATAACTTTCTTCTTTGACGATGCATATAGGCAGAAAATACGCACGATGTTGAAGAGAAACTATTGATTGTTGCCGCTTTACGGTGCACATTAATCGGAACGCACTCACTAACCGATACAAATCGGATATTGGACATTGTTACTGGCGAAACTCCGTGACGATTGTTCCAAATAAATGATAGAAACTTATTTCTTCGGCAAAGAGAATAAACATTCATAGACAAAGGAATATTTTTAATGTCTTCTGGAGTAAAAATCGATTGCCTAAATACGTTTTATTCTGCCAAGTTTTAAAGTCGAGTGCCTACTGTATGTTCGTCATCCGTTTAATTTTATACAATTTGTAGGTGCACTAAAAATAATGAACGTTCTTGCCAAAGATTTTGAATTAAGCAGCTTAAAATAGACTTTTATTTAAATTTTCTAAAGAAAACGATTCTTCAGTTGCCACTATTTTGGACGATGAGTGTTAAAGTCAAAATTACTTGTTTATTCGTTTAGCAATGTGTGGCAAAGACCAACGGCAAACGTAACAAATAGAAGCCCCATGAGCTCTTCCACGACCATCACGCATCTGGACACATTAAAATAAACAGACGCGAATTAGCTGACCACTTGCTGAGAATGCATGAATCCAGGGCAACCAAAGTATCTTAAGGGAAACAATCCCGAGAGTGGTCGAGGCAAACCAAACCTGCGGTGATTGGGTGATGTGAATCGAGACGGCAAGAAAATTTGAATAACAAATTGGAGAAATGTTGCTACACATAAACCGACGTAGATGAAATTGCTAGCCCGCAGAGGGCTTTAGAGCTTTAATTATCACGATCTCTTGTTTTTTCAATTTTTTTTTGTTACATTTATCAATCTTGATGAGGACATAAGTGATTCAATTGACCTCATCTTTTTGCGTGGGTAGAGTAAAAGAAGACAAACGGAAATGGCGTCACTGCGAGCCCCCACATACATTAAATAAACTACCATAAATATTTTCAACATACTTAAATGGATATTGTTAGTCAATAAGTTCTAATGATAGCCAATAAACAAAATACGGAGAGTATGTATTTTGTTACCATGATAGCAAGTTTTCTGTGGTAATCATATCACGAAACACTTCAATAAACTCTATCAATCTTCAGTCAACTTGTAGAAAATAAATAATTCAACTTACATATTATTTCATCAAGTAAATACTAGTCAAAATGTGACAAATCAATTGCATTGCATATTTTTTTTATAACATATGGTGGCAAACTAGCGAGCGGCCACCTAAAATCGCTGATATAGCGAAGTGACCGTTGCCCATGTGCAATTGCATATGCGTTGCCTACCTTTAATCGACGGAGGAGAGGATGCTCAGAAAGAAAATATTTTCCCTTCCCATGCATCCTCTCATCCGGAAAGTCCACTTCCACTTCACATCATTCTCTTATAAGAAAAAGGGTGGGAAGGGAAAGAGGACTAAATTAGACCTCCGAGACACACACTCATTAGACGAAACGCGGAATTGCTTCCACTTCACGCCTGTCTTCTGTGTGGTTGTGGTATTTCACGGGGCGAGCCGGGCAAATTCGTGCAAATATGTTAAAGCGGGCTCTACCACTGTTAGAGTGTCACTAATGCCTTAATTAAATAAAGAAACAAGATACATTAAGCCAAATTTAGAACTAGGTAAGATATCTTTAAATAGGATTACAAATTACTACAAATAAAAAAATCACATAGTATATTTTTAGCAATAATAGAAATGGTCTATACTATTAAAAATAGGAATAATCTGACTTTTAGTTAGCATCAAATACTCCAAAACTACAGAATAAATTTAATAAATTCTTTCTCCATTGGGAAGCTATACTGTCCTCGGGTGACATAGGCTATATTTGTTTTATTTTTATTTTGTGCAGACGAAGTTGTAGGTAGTAGATTACAAATTGCTTCACATAAATAACTATAATAAGAAGAAAAAAATGCAAAAACTTTTCTCCCTTTAATAATAAAACCGTCATGGGATAATCTTAAATATACTTAAATTTACCATAAAAATAAATTTAGAACTTGATATCTTAGTAGGTAATAAGTTAAGCTATGTCATCTACTCTGTATTGAAACAGGTTTTATAAAGTTACAAAAAGTTATATTGTGAAATTATTATGAACTAAATGATGATGTAATGATACAAGTATTTGTGACCTCAAGTCTCAACTTGAGGTCACAAATACTTGTATGTTGATGATCTAATGTTTATTAGTTTTACACATACTATCAATACTACACATTACTGGAGTTCAATTAAATGTTCATTATGTTTATACATAATCTTAAATTGTAAATAAAGTGAAAGTACTATAAATAAATTTAAAGAAAACAACAGAACTTGCTATTATAAATTTCAAATGACTATTTTCCAGAAATTTCTATTTTCATATGCTGCATATTTTTAATAAATATATTAGTAAATACTTAAGTTATTTATTTTTGTTGGACATTATTTTTTAATTTGTTTAAAATCCCAGATATTTTGTTCACATTAATTTAAATGATTTGTTGTACTGTTTATGGGTGTAAAGATAAAATTTATAGTAAATATAGATAAACTATACATGAAAATATGTACTATATTACCAAATACCACTATCATAGTGATCACAGAACATGACTGCAAAAGATGATAGCAGAAGATGAGGATCAACATTAATGAGAACACTGACTACCTACATTACTCTCTAAGTGGGAAGATGAAAGAGTTGTCAATTGCAGTTTGTATAATACCTTCAATTATATGAAAACACAAGAATAAACATAAAAAAAGATTCTTACCAGCTCTAGGGGAGATAGGAACAGCAGGCTTGGGTGCAGCGTTGGAACACAGCCGTCCAATCTTCGAAGGTGGTTTCAGACCTGATGGCTTGGGCAGAGTTGTGGGTCTTGCATGTTCAGCTGTTCTTGGTATTGTCGATGCTGTGGTGCTGACTGATGCATTGTCGGACGACGTTGATAATGGAGCCGGCGGCGGTATACCGTTGTCCGTCCGTCCATCCCGCGATAACTCTTGTTCACTCATTTTTTTACGGGTTCACTTTTTATTTAATTACTACGTGCTTATCATCATATCGAAACCATTGTACGCTAATAAAAACAAAAACAAAAAAAACCGACGCGTCAGAAATAAACTCGCGACTAATAAACTAAAAATACCGCAAGTTCCCGCGCAATAACAGGACACGCAATCTGGATCACGGCCATAACGCAACACGTTAACGTAAATAAAATCGGTGTTTTTTTGCAAATACCGTAATTTTACGTTAAAAGCAATTAATTACACGTGCGGGAAAACACAACAATTCAAAATGTTGTCGTTATCATAAATATTTTCAGCAATTACTATTTGTTACGAGCATTACATAGAAAATTATAACAGCATACCTTGAGTCGTTAATCAGAGCACATACAGTGCAATCCGTGACTTAGAAAAACTCGCGAAATATTTACCGCTCACCGTTTCAGCTGAACTTGACAACGTTATCACTACACGTAACTACACCTATACAAATTATTTATATATGCTTTTAACTTTTACATCTCCATCACAAGAACATCAAACACAAAACCACTTAAGTCACTAAACATCAAAAACTCTCAGAATAGAAGACGGCCGATATCCATTGAACACAGTACAAAATTTGTAATGCAGAAATACATTGCATTATACGACAGAACAGAATGTTTAAATTTTTTTTAGTATACACTTTTTCTTGAGAGAATGGATCCGTTTTTCGTTCGGAAATAAAAAAGACAAACAGATTTATTTTATTCTTAAAAATGTAAAGACTAAAAAATTCGAATGACGGCATAATTATACCATATTTTATCGAACACAAGTAAAATCGAAAGAATAAGGAATGAAATAGGAAAGGATGTAAAATTATTTCAATAATTCTGTGCGCATTGTGACACGAAGCTTTGTCGTGCTTTATAATATCAAGTTTTAATGGAACTGAAATTGACTTCAGCCCAATAAAACTTAATGATACAAGCCAACAACTATTAAAAATATGGATAATGAGTTGCTATTTAGACTTCTAACCTTCAGTGTAATAAATTGTCTAAATCTTACCCTTTCCCCAATCTCCCTCTTTTAGGTTGTTTTATGTTCAAGTTACGTTATTTATTTCGTGACTTAAGTTTTCTGACATTTGTGTTTGACTTTGACACGTGACATTTGACATTGATAATGAGAATGCACTGCATATTGTAAAAAATAAAGTTCTGATTTAATCGCTAGATATGCGTTTAAAGTTCACTCAGAAACGTAATATAATTATGGAATAGTCAATTCTATAAGATATCGATAAGAAAATGAAGTTAACACATAAAAACATAGAGAAAGATGGCTGCGGGTATGTGTTTTAAATAAAATGAAAATATGTAATTGCAGACATAACATAAGGAATATAATTTTAATTATAGGAGTATTGGGCTTATACCCGAGGAATCGGAGGATATGTGGCATGCCTATAACTTGATATCAGAAGGTGATGCAGTGACCGCGTCAACTGTGCGTAAGGTCCAAACGGAATCATCCACTGGTTCTTCCACTAGTAGTAGAGTTCGAACTACGCTCACTATAAGAGTTGAAACTATTGATTTTGATACACAAGCATGTGTATTACGTTTAAAAGGTCGAAACATAGTAGAAAACCAATATGTGAAGGTAAATATAACTTTGTTAGGATTCACTATTCATGTAAAATATCTAAACTTTATATTCCTTACAATTATATAAAGTATTGATAATAGTGAATTATAATTTCAGATGGGTGCATATCACACATTAGATTTGGAACAGAACAGAAAATTTGTTTTACAAAAGGTTCTCTGGGATTCGGTGGCACTGGAGAGAGTGGACATAGCTTGTGACCCAGCAGCTTCAGCTGATGTGGCGGCTGTTGTAATGCAGGAGGGCCTTGCCCATGTTTGCCTTATCACACCCTCAATGACACTTGTCCGCTCTAAAATAGATGTAACAATACCAAGGAAAAGAAAAGGTTTTGTTCAACAACATGAAAAGGTAGACAAATTACAAGAAAAAGACAATTGTATTCATTTTATGTTTCACTAGTACACAATGTACGCTCCATTTATAACTTTATAATTGTATTTTCATAGTACAAACCAATTCAACATTTTGAAATTCCTGAAGTAGATAGCCAAATTAACCTTTATATTATTTGACATAATCCAGTATTATATATGTGTTGATATATTTTCTTACAGGGTCTAAATAAGTTCTATGATGCTGTAATGCAGGGCATTTTGAGGCACATTGACTTCAGTATAGTGAAATGTGTAATTCTTGCATCACCTGGTTTTGTTAAAGATCAGTTCTTTGACTACATGATGCAACAAGCTGTTAAAACAGATAATAAATTATTAATTGATAATAAGGGAAAGTTCTTATTAGTTAAAGCATCATCTGGTTTTAAACATTCATTGAAAGGTAAATACATGTCATTTCCAATAAAAAAGTGGTTAGTAAGCTTTTGTCTTACTAATATTATAAATGTGAATGTTTGGATGGATGGATGGTTGTTTGAAGGTATCACCAGAAAAGCTGTGTCTCGCTGAAATTGGCATAGATGTAGAACATCATGTCCAATTACGCATGGACAGAGCCGCGTGCGACAGTTAGTATTTTACTTAATTTACGAACTTGTTTTGACAAACTAGCACTTTATAAAACGAAAATTCTAATGACAAGTAAATAAACCCTAAAACACATTAAATATCACTTCAATTTTCACATTTTGTTATCTCCCAGGGTGAATTGGTAGCACTGACGGTCTTAAAAAATTTGACTAATTTGACTATTTCAGAAGTACTTCAAGAACAATCAGTTATGGCAAAGATATCGGACACAAAAGCAGCAAGTGAGGTGAAACTATTAGAAAGCTTTTACACAATGTTGCAGTTGGAACCTGCTAAAGCCTTCTACGGCAAGAAGCATGTGGAAAAAGCAAATGAGGCATTAGCTCTTGAAACTCTCATGATATCTGACAGATTGTTTAGGTAAGTTTTTTAAGATTACTAATGAAGTATAGTTTAACTTAGACAAACAAGAGATTTGACTAAAAAACAAAAAAAATTGTAGAAGTAAACATTTTAAAAGTAAAATAAATTAGTAATTTAGGTATTGAGTACTACCATGTTTGAACCTCGGAAAGTTATTTTGTATTTAAATTTTTTACAGATGTCAAGATGTTTTGAAAAGGAAGGAATATGTAGCTCTAGTTGATTCAGCAAGGGAGAATGGCTGTGACGTCAGAATATTTTCAAGTATGCATGTATCTGGTGAACGTAAGTACATTATTTTTATAAACTTTTATTCAAATATGACCTGTCACCCGTGACTTCGTCTGCGGGGAATTTACAAGAAACACAACTAGTAGCCTAAGTGTTCTTCTAGACTATATTTTACATGAATGCCGAATTCCAGCAAGATCCATGTAGCTGTTTTGGAGATACCTTTAAACAAACATCCATCCAATTTTTGCATTAATAATATTAGTAAAGAGTAACCACTTAATGTTACAGAACATTGAAAAAAAAATTTAAAGCATGGAATGTATCATTTCAGTACAGTATCATGAAAATTATATTAATTTTTAATGACATTTTCAGAATTAGATCAGTTGACCGGTATTGCTGCAATCCTACGTTTTCCAATGCCAGAGCTGGAAGATAGTGATGCAGAAGACGACAGTGGTACAGAATCTGATTGATAACCTCCAACAAATTATTAGCTAAAAGCATTTTATAGCAACATGTATTTAGTTATAAAAAATTTGTACATTCGATATTTGTATTGTAATGAATCTTAGAAAAATATTATTAAATGTAATATGCTTCTATATTATGTCTGTAAATATACTCATAAAAGTGTATTTAATACCTAAATTTCCCAATATTTTGCCGCGACAATATTTTATACAGACCTTAGGGTAGCCATTTATTTTTATACAGAAATAAATGTATTCAATCAATTTAATATCGTTGTATTCAAATTTATTCTACTATAGTCGTAGTAAACTACTATTAAAATAAAACTTACTTTTTCGTTTTGTTGAATATTAGTTATATTGTTTAAATGAGAGTAGGAATTAATATGTACTTACATATTTTACGCCTCAATACCGATATTTAATTTTAACAAGATAACGTCATTTTTGTTGTTTTTCAAATATAAATGGCTCTATATAGTGTTAGACCAGTCGCTATTTAATTGAAATGCCATAATTTTGTAACAAATTCTGTTTGGTTGTAATCTGTATGTAAAAAAATTGACCATAAAGGAATAGATAGATATAGAAATAAAATATATTTATTTTAACAGATGTTTTATTTATTTCAATTAGAAGAAGCAGCTTCCAATGCTTGCATTTTCTGTTTACGTTTCTCTGCTTTTTTCTCTTCTTTTACTTTCTCGTCGTGTAGACGTCGCTTCTTCCTCAACAGCCATATCTCCTTCTTCCTCTGTTCCTGTCCAGCTTTCATGCTCTTGTAAAGATTTCTGTGCTTTTTCCTGACAAGTTTCTCTCTTAGTCTGAATGCCTGTTTATCCTCAATTTCTTTTTGATATGGATTTTCTTTGTGTGTTACACCGGTTGACACCGCCATTGCTTTTTTCTGCAAATCGAAGTAAAAGGGTAAGATTTGGTTGTCGAAAATTTATCACATCATCAACCTGCCCGTATCCCTATCGAAGGTCGGCACAGTATGTACTACTCCTCCATACATCATCAGCCGAAAAAAATTATTACATTAAAAGAAATATTAAGTTAAGTATTTATTTTTAGAGTCGATGAATTAATTGAAATGGAAAATGTAATATTAATGGATGTTTATGCTGTTTCTATAAAAGCAATTTATTTATAAAAAAATCAAACCTTTTCTTTAGCCAGTTTCTTTTTCTCTGGATCTAAATCATCTTCACCATCTTCTTCATCATCACTAGCTGAATCTTCTTCTACTTCTTGCTGATACTGCCGTGTTAATGCTTTTTCATCATCTTCCTCTGAACTATCTTCCTCTTTTTCCTCTGCATCTTCATCACTGGCTTCCTCAATATCACTTCCAGATGGCTCATCATCTGGAATTTGTATTTACTTTAACTATAATACTATGCATATTGCATCACATTCTATAGTTATTGGTAACACAAGAAATTCTGACATGATTCAGGTATAATAATGCATAAGTTTTGTTTTTTGTTCATAAACAAATGAATTGATAAAAACTTACCTAATGGTTTAAAGTTAGGATCCTTCAAAGCCCTCTCTTCAGGTGGCATATACACTTGGTCCTTAACCTTGTCAACAAATGGTGATAAATGTGGTGGCAGAACTGCTCCCATTAAATATTTATTGATTGGAAGTAGTGTTCTGGCATTAACACTGTCAAATACCCACTGGGGTTGAACGTAATAACGAGAAAGATATTGCTTATCCATACTAGGCCTGTCAACAATCTGGTAAGCAATAGACTCATCACTTTCATCAAATGTGGCTCCGACAAAGTGGTCTTTGTCCCAGGACACTTCACCTCCGAAGCATCTTATTATAAACACCAATGGTTCCCTAGGAACTTCACGATTTAGGAAAAATTTAAGACCTTTAAACATGGTCTTTAGATTTTTTACTTTTTCAACTTCTAATTTAGCTTCTTCAAGTTTCTGTGGGTCACCATCTTCCGCCTGGAATACATCAATTTCGGGCAACTCTTCCACTTCATTGGAACCAGCAATTTTTGCAACAGAAATATTTAGTGCCGCAATTCTCTCAGCTACATATGCATGTTCGTCAACAAGGTCCTTGTCTGTCTCTGGTGTGAAACCAGCTGTCAGTTGTGGTGGATAGACAAGGTTCAGAGAATGGAACAGTTTGAAGTTGATGAATCCAAGCATCATTGTGTAGAACTCTACAAATGTTGACATAATCTTAAAATCTACTTCGTCTTTGCTTTGAGGCTAAAATAAAGAAATGCACAATATGATTAACAAATAATGTACATAATAATTGTTCTCCAAAAATATTGAGATTTATGCAGAAACCCAAATGACTTGTAATCTGCCCAAATATGTTTATTAGAATTTTATGAAATTTAACAACAAATGTAAATTTAATATACCTGGAAAGAGAAGTGATGTGGCACAATCCATGTTATAGTTTGTCCTTCAAATTCTGCTTGGTAGTAGTAACCTTTGATAGAAATAAAAACTTTCCGTAAAGCCTTTGCTGCAATTACTGCATGCATAAACTCTACCGATAATCTTCTGCACAGTAAAGACTGATCCCTAGGTACCTTCTTTAGTGATGGGAAGGTACTGAAGAGAAAGCACAATGTCAAACAGTCGTCAAGGTCTCTTAAAGCATCAACAAATGTTGGATATCTTTCTTTAACAATATGATCAATGTTAATAGATGGATAATCACGTAAATATTTCCTCATCCGACCAAATTCTCTTGTAGCTCGAGCTTTTCGAATCTTTTGTTGATAAACCTAGAAAAATACACTTTTAATATTATTTCCGATCAAGTGAAATATTCAACATTAAAATGAGTAAATGTTCACTTGGCAAAATTTAAATTTCACATACCTTCAAGTCTCTCAGCTTCCATATTATTGGTTCGTGCAACAAAAATTTAATATCTTTCGTGTGATATAAGGTTTTGATGCCCCCAGCACCTTTTTGGGCCCTTTTACGGTTGCGAGGCTCTCTTGGGTATATGCCTTTAAGAATACAAATTCGTCTGAAGTCTTTCAATGAAAGTTGTAGTTTCTTTAGTGCAGCTTTCCTTGTCATAAACTGTGCTCCCTCTCCGGATGAATACTAGTTCGTGAAAAAGGAAAATTCAATTTTACTTTAAAAAAAAAATCGGTTAAGCTATTAGGTTAACAGAAGTTTCTGCATTTTCATGCTTGTATTTCTATATGAATTATATCAAACAAAGAATAATATCGGTAAATAGCACGTGTTGTTTGGTTATGTGAATTGTACATACCTTCTTCTTTTTCTTGGAAACCATTTTTTAACTTTGAAAAATAAAGTTTACACGATGATTGCGAGAACTTATGAAAGTTTTTAGCGTATTAATCTGATTAACAGTTATTTAATAAAATGTTTGTGGCTACAGCGCAGTAGAAAAAGGAAGCATGAGAATGTTGACATTTGTCATTGTCATATTGACAATTGTCAATTTAGGTTTAACACCATTGTCTATGGTAACTTTGTGACTATGGTCAATCTATGTCACAAAAAATGATGTCTAAATTTTTTTTTAAATAAAAAAGTAAACATGCGTATTTTTATTACTTTATTCATAAAATCTGTGCCATTCTTTAAGTTGAAAATCTATCAGCTCTCAAATTTAGCGCTTTGATTACGACCATGTAGGATTAAACGGTTTGAATAATACAGAAATGAAGCATATTATTAAGTAAACAAAACTTTATTTACTTAACAATAAATAATTACTCTTTATTTAGGCTATACTATCCAGAAAATTGATTCAAACATAATCTAGTCATCATCTGCCTCTTCAGTAGTTATTTTTCCCGTTGTTGTGGTTTGACTCTGTGTCCATGCGGTAGGATCTAGCATAACATACTGATAAGGATATGCGTAAGCACTCGGCCAATGATGTGGTACTGGTAATGCAGTTCTTGAAGCGCCATCATTTTCTCCATCTTTATGAGAGTTTAAAGCACCGGTTAGCGCTGCCATCATGTGAGGGTAGTAGAATGGGTAAGGATACGCAGGTAAACTTGTTGGTGGCGTTAAACCTTCCAACTGACATTGTGACTCTTCTGATGCTTTATAATTTTGAGAGGCATATAATCCAAACGGATACGGACTGAATCCGTTCATATCGGGCGTGCTTGGTATAGGAAGCGCATAGGCATACTTGACTGGTGGGCTAGTAACGATAGTTTTCTTTTTAGTGGTGACCGTCTTCTCGTGCGGTGAACTGCTTGTTGTTAAACTGGAGGTGAATGTTACTGGTGCGGAAGCTGCTTGAGCTTGAGTCGAAGCTGGTAAAAAGTTGATGGGATGTTCTGTCAGCCATTGTGAGTCTACGCCGCTGTCTTCTGACGCCGCCACATACAAGTCTCCTGTAATGCCGTCCTCCGATGGCTTGACAAAAAGTCCATGGACGGGAGTCAGTTTAGGCACGTTAAAGTTTGCTGCGTTCGATCTTGTAGAATAAATCACGAGTAAAATTACGCTTAATACTTTCATTTTGAGCGATTTTTTTATAAAGTGACGCTCGAATTATCTCTCTCCCTCGTGCATTAGAGGATACCCGTATTTCTATTATAGGTTATTGGAATACTTTACTAATATAAATGATATTTAATGAAATATTCATTATTTATATACCTTAAAGAGATAAGCGTTGAGATCTAATCATGTTATTCAAATCTCATTGATCTAAGTTACGGCACGTAGTTCATTACAGACGGTAATGTTCTATCAACACGTTAAATGATAACGCATGTTTGAGGTTCAGTCATCAATATCTACTTTATATCCGTTAAAGTTCAATTTTGTCTAGAACCTGTAATATCCTGTACACAAAAAAATATTTTTAATGGACCAACCTTAAATTAAAACAATATCTGACAGTTTTTTTTTAATTTAGGTTATGTGTAGTAAAACGGTACTTATAAGAATTAATGTAATCGTATTTCCATTGAATTTAATTTATTTTCTCATTAAAATCTCGGCTATTATTTTTGTAACATTTAGGGAAATAAAACGCAAATAAATTCATACTTTATTAAAAAATAAAAAAAAAAACAAAAAATAGTAGAACAGTTAAGCTGAAGTTATTGTTGTTTTGAAATCATAAATTATTTCACTTTTTATTGTCGTTATAGGCAATTTATTGCAATACCTTACATTTGAAATGTACTTTTATTTTATTGTATACGTTACGCTGCTATCAATAAAATGTATAACAAACTATAGAACCTCAATGTGTTTACGTGAGAACGAAGAGTATTCCCTTTGTGGTTGGAAATGTCCACCGACATGCGTGAACATGCATCTATTATCGTTACATGGGACTGTATGCTCTTTGACATGGGAGTGCAGGATAGGCTGCAGATGCTCCGCGGGATACATCAGAGATGAATACAGTAAGAAATGTATTTTGGTACATCAATGTCCAGGTCAGTAGCAAAAAAGATTATTGAAAAAAGTACGTAGCGTAACTTATTTAATGTAATCTAAGTTATAATTTTTAATATAACGATAAAAGATAGCGCCAAAACGAAAACGTGCATAGGAAAGATTTTTAATGAGGTCGACGACGTGATTCGGCTTTCAGTAATTTCGTCTCGTAAGCAGTTTTAGTGAATCAAGGCATCACACGTTTGTTATGCATACTCGCTAAATGTTAACGTTACGTACAGTCAACATCATAAGTTATTAAGTCAAACAAATTCTTAAATACTGTTATATTTATTCCTACTACGTTCTTCTTATTAAATCATCATTACTTTCTACAGTTGTTGCTGTAAAAAAAGGTGTTTTCAATATCTGATATCAACACTAAATAGCTAATTTGAAAACCTTTTTTTTATTATTTAAGTATCACTGATATTCCCAAACCCATAAAAAGAGGCTGGGTATTAAAAGATACTAATATCATGTAGGTTAGTTGTCTAAATTATAGTTAGTATTCACTTTTAATGCTGACTGTACCGCAAGACATTAATTGATACAATTCAAAATACTTTATCTGACGTGATGATATGTATCAATTATGCTTCGTTTCCGCATAATAATATTTTATTTTTGAGCTAAGGAATACACGTATTCTATATCGGCCTAACTAAGAATTATTATTTAATCTACCTATTGAGTCTATCTGTTGAGTAAAATTTTCATATCGATCTCAAGGATTGAATATTGATTTACTCGTATGTTGTTGTAAAGAGTTACTATTAACGATATAAGCCGATTAGTTTAATGAGAATAAATGTCGATAAAAAATATAATTATGAATACTATAAAATGTGTCCTGTTCATTGTACGTCACACTTAATTTTATTTTTACTTATATAGCTTTCTAAAGTATTAGTGTGTGAAGCAACTGTTTGTATGTACGTGGTACAGATATAATACAAATCTTTTGGGATCTGGATTTAAATTTGGAAACAATGAAATATTGTTTAGACTCTATACTTGAATCGATTGTTTGGTACTTTTGGTTTGGGTCTACTTTAGAAATACGTGAGATATAATGCATATAATATTGTTATCCCAATTGTTCTCTTTAAAATGATAAAGAAATTAGTCTTAATTGAAGTGTTTCGTCAGTGGATCTTTACGGTTAGATGTGAAGCTATGTTGGTGCAACCTTTTCATACTACTTTAGATTAATCTGTAGGTAGCTATTGAGAAAATCATGTAAGCGAAAAATACTGGGACGCGTTCTACTTAAGTAAATGATGAATTTGCTTTGTAAGTAATACCGAAAATGTATTCGACTTAAACGAGGTATAAAATACCACGACAAATTAATTGTATTGCATTTATAATACTTGAAGATAATGAAGCTTGTGTGGACGTTCTTTGTGCTGAAAATCATCTGCACGGCAGCGGCACCGATTGCAGATGAACATCCTAATTTACCTGACGAAGATGAATTTAGGAAACGTTCGAGCTATACAGTACCATACGTGAGTCCCTGTGCTGCTTCATCTCTACCCATGGTACCAAGTTACCATATGGCTCTACCCCAAGTTCAAAATTATCTTCGGCCACAGTACTACAACTACAATTACCCAAGATACCGTTCAATCGATCCAAACGAGATGCCTTTTCTAAATATGAATATGTACCGAAGTCCGCAGAATACGATGGGAGGTATGGAAGTGCCCAATAATCAAAATAAACCTGACCTCACTATATTAAATTCTCACAATTTCGCACCAGCTATGCCAAATATGCCAGCAGTGGGTCTCTTTCCCTATGTAAATCCTGATCCAATGAATGTACCACTTCTCATCACGTGTACTCCGTCAATAGCGCAAGGACAAATGGTACAACCCCAAGTGCAACACAACAGTTATCGCTCCGATGGCTTCAGGAATACGGAATATGAAGACTTTTTTGAAAGAGATAGTGAATCGCAGCCGGAATATTTAACGAATTCTCAGAAACAAGAAAACATGGCTGTAAAACCCCAGTAAAATTATGCAATACACACAATAGCTTTATACAGTGTGTGTAATATTATGTTACGAGTGTAATGTGTAATAGATATTATGTGATTATTATTTGTATTTGCCCAATGTTAAATTAGTAATATAAGATTTGACAATAAAAATTTTATTCGAGTAAAATGGCATTTTAACTATAACAACTTTGTTTACAACATGTTAACATGCAAAGATTGAATTTTATTTAAAACTAGCTGTCACCTACGATTCCGTTCGCGCGTAATTAAAAAAAATACTTAATTTGTAGCCTATGTGTTCTTCCAGATTATGTTCTGCATCTATGCCAAATTTCAGCGAGATCCATGCAGTCGTTCTGGTGATACCTTCTAACAATCATCATTCCATCTATTCGCTTTTATAATATTAGTAAGAAGAAATAATAATAAAGTACATTTAGATGCAAACTTATTATGTTCTATTTCATAACCTTAACTATTTATCATAACGGTCGAATCTTAGGGATCGATTATTGGATTCTGATAGACTTTTCGTTCGTTTCACTGAAATATTTAATTAATGATAGTGGTTATAAGAATTTAACAAAATTATAATACCCCATAGCACAAGGCATTATTTAGGTGCTAGGACCGATTTAAATAATCTTTTTCAATTACAAAGCTCCATTATCACTACGAAACATAGAATATGTCAATCACTGTTTTTGTTTTTAATTCCGGGCGGACGGATTCGTGGGTACTGGCTTCTACTTCATAAAAGGACTAGGAAAGACTATAAAAAAAACTGGTAAGCTATGTGTTCTTCCATGCTATGTTCTATATCTATGCCAAATTTTATCAACATCCGTTTAGCCGTTCTGGAGATACATTCAAACAAACATACCTCCATACAAACATACGCATTTATAATATTAGTAAGATTGGTATCCTTCTCACGTTATAGAAATTAATTAAAAATAACATTGAGGGTATCATAGGGGGTTAATTAATGACTCTGAGTATCTTAGCAATAGCCTTTTAATTTTTTGTCATTAAACTTTTATATTTCGTATTGATCGTATATTTTGCTTTAAAACGCTACAGCTAACTTCAGATTTGCTTAGTAATCGTTTTAATACGAGTCGTTATTGAATTTCTTCGTAACAACGAACGTGAGTTTCGATGTTACGTGCTGATTTTGATAATTTTTAAAACTTTGTATAATAAATATTTTATATAATGAGTCGTATGTGTTACTGATAGCATGAAAAAAACAGCTAATATTAATAAAGCCTAGATAATAACGAATTTAATTTATTAAATGAAAAGTTTGGATAAAAATGGGTTGTTCCCCAAAATAAGAACTGAACACATATTTTTGTACATGAACTGAAACCCTAAATCCTGTTACTAGTATGATGTATACTTTTAGACATTATTAGTTAGAATCACTTGGCGCGTAAGACGTGCTTTCGTACAATGTCCAGTGTCAGAATTAATAGTGAGGGGATACAAACGTCGACATTTTAGTAAGGCTAGTGTTGGGTCAATACACTGCCACATTTTCGGATTTTCTTCCTAACAATACTAATGGACGTCTTTCTTAAGAATATGGTTACATTTCTCCATACAATGTGTTTCTGCCATCGACACAGTTGTATAACTAATGTCATCTCTCTCATTATCTCTTAAAAATATTATGATACATTTTAATGCAATTGTTTTGGCAGTGTAATTTCACGTTTTCATTAAAATATAGCGATGAGATGTTTTTTTACTCATTAAATATTAGTCGTTACATATTTAGTATCAATCTGGTCATTATGAATAATGCCGTAAAATTCTATTTTACTACTACATATAATTATTTTGCAATTTTTTTGGTTTTCAAGCTTTCAAATTAAAAACTTCTCATGCTCTCACTTCTCACTTTTAAATAAAATGCAATATAATTTAAAGAATTGTATATTTTAGAAATGATTCTTGAAAAAGTTAATTTAAGCTATGTAGTGTTTTCGCGACGCGCAAAGTGTGACGAGCGTTGTTTGTAAAAAGGCACGTAGCGTTTGATAGATTCGTTTGTATAAATGCAGATTACAATTCAATCTCACCATCAATTGCGCCATCGATCACAATGAAGACACTAGTAGTATTATTAACTTTGTGGTCTACGTGTTTCTCTAAACCCTCTACGCTGCAAGAACAATCGCTCCCAGTTGAAGCAGTCGAAACACAAACAGAATTTACTGGAAGAGCACACCTTCAAGATCAAGAGACGGCAATCTTTGACACCACCCACGATGAACATACAGGTACCCAATTTCAACAAAGTTTCAGTGGTTCTCCTTTACAAGAAAGAAGTATCATCGCATCTCAACAACCCTTATTGATTAAAAAAGGTTACCACATTTATAGAAGTGCTGACGAGGAGCAAATGCTAACTGATTCCAAACATAAATGCAACAAACAAGTAAAAGTTAATATTTGTGAAGAGGACGACGTGACAAATTCTAATCAAATGAGGTTTGACGACACAATTTTTAGGTCTCATGATAATATGAATAAAAATGAAATGAAGAAAACAATAAAAAAGGTAAAAGAAGTTGTTGAACATATGCAAAAGGATTTACAAACATTGGAAGATACATCGACGGATTTTGTAACAGAAGAGCAGTTGCAGAGTGGACAAAAAAAGACACAGTTGCAAGATGATTTTGTTATACTACATACAGTTTTAGATGATTTAGTCAAACATATTGGAGATGGTTCACTATCATCTAAATCCGACAAAAAGGATACTAAAAACACGAGTCATGAAGATAATGAAGAAAGTCGAATGAAGCAATGGAAGGATACAATAAGCAAAATACAAGACAATTCAGAAAGAAACATCGAGGACAGATATGCAAAAGATAACGGTGTGACCGAAAGAAGTCATCTTGAAAGTAATTCTCATACTATAATGGAAAATGAAGCCAAAACATCACCACACATACAAAGCTTGGAAACACTGTCAAGAGATAATGAAGATGCAGAAATTTCTATTACCCAGGACATCAATAAAAAGGGAAGCTTACAAAGTGATAGTTTAAGATTGGCGGAAGGTCCTACATCTCAAGCACGTGAGGAAGAGTTATTATCAAAGTCAAGTAACACTGACCACCATACTTCACAAAATCACGACGTTGAAAGCACTCATGAAACGACTAAAACAACAGAGCAAGAAGACGATACAAAGTTGGAGGGGAATACTATTGCAGACTTACATGATCATATGCATGATAAACGTACAATCACCCATATGGTAAAAAGGAAATCGGATGAAATGGAACACACACTAAGCCCAGGTCACGTAGATGAACATTTGAGTAATTCAAATCTAATGCATCATGAGAATGATCTAGAATTTAAATCACAGGATGATAACCAAGCTTCGGATTCTTCAATGAAGGTGGACGATGTTACCGGACATACTCATCATACTGATATTGCAAAGCTATCTAGTAATGAAATGGATGCAGACAAATTACAAGAAGTCAAATCAACATCTAATTCGGATACATCATTTGGCTCTCATTCTTTTGTTGCCATGCCACCGCGTGAAGCTGCACACGAAGATCAGAGTGTACCAAATAAAAAGGTCCATTCGACAATGAATAGCGAGACACCTGTAGTGCCGCATACTCGCCTAGCAATGGATCAAAACAATCAGGAGCTGAGAACTATGAGTCCCAACGAAGTAGAAACACAACACGATTCTACACAAAGTTTATTTAACGATCATTCCCAGGGTGCAATTACAGGAAAAGCTAATAATGACGCAGGAAAAATTGATGAATCGTTGCAGCATCAGTTTAATGGCCAAGATAATACAAGATGGGCACAAGAAAGGGGCATGGAAACTTCAATGCAAGGGCAATCGGGAACCCATTCACGAGATAGCATGTCAAAAAGTGAGCACACAACTGGTCATCATCATCATACGATGCATCAAGGAGAACACATGCATCGGTTACACGAGTCATCGCAACATCAACATTCAGGAAGGATGCCGTTTGATGAACATTTCACACCTTCATTGGCTACATCACACCCTAATTCCCAATTAAGAAACGAAGAAATACATTCCGTACATAATCCTATCAGTCAGTTACCTAATGGAAAATTTGCTCATGACCATTACATGATGCCAGCTATGAGGTCCAACATGGGATTCGGCGACAGCACTAGTATGAGTATGCAATCACAACACAATTTAAATATTCCACATGGTCACCACTTCTCAACGGGTCCACATGGTCAAGCAATGTTTCACAATACGCAAATGAGTGAGACCGACAGCATGGTACAAGCAAGCGAGCATATTGGTATGAGAGATGCGATGCTGAGATCGACTGGAGAGTATTCTCAGTATTACAACACTCAAGGAAATAACAAGGGATCAGGATATCATGAACAGCCTAGCATGCAACCGGTATCGAGTGGGTCCGGCGCTGTGGGACTGTTCCCTAATGCTAACGTAGGAGGTTGTGGGATACCTTTACTATTGAGTTGTTCTCCCAACGTTGTCTCTGGTACATTAGCTAAGGGACAACCTACGTATACTGCGCCTTCGTACAGATCTATGGATGCCTACAGATACCACAAGAAGCGAGAAACAAAGAATTCTAATTCCAAGCTTGATGTTAAAACGGTCCCCAAAATAATGTTCAAAAGCAAAGCTGAAGCTGCCAATGTGATAAACTAAGTCATTTTTGTATTATATACGATAACGCATTATTCTCGACTATTTAAAGATTAATGTTGTAGGTAATTTATTGTGTAAAATGGCATTACAATCGACAATAAACTTTTTATAACATTCCATATGCTTGTTTTTTCATAACCCAATTTACGTGGTAATATAGTGATTGTTAAACTGTTAATAAAGCAAGTTAAACTATTAATTTAGGTATCTTACTAATATTATAAATGCGAATGGATGGTTGGATGTTTGTTTGAAGGTATCTCCAGAAAGGCTGAATAGATCTCTGGTACTACACACACACAGACTAATTATGATTTTATAATGCTGCGCGAACGGAGTCGCGAGCCACAGCTAGTTGACTATAAGTTTCTTCTGATTAAGCATTTCATAGAAATATCCTACATTTTGTATAACAACTGATGTAGAATGATAGATTGATACTGATTGTCATAGATTCTAATAATGAAAAGAAGAAATAATGTCCATAATAATCACACTAAATAATATTATAAGGCAAAGTTTTTTAATATCTGTAGTAAGCTAATAAATAGATAAGAATATAAAGCGACAAAATAATTGTAATTAGACAAATTATGAAATGTTTTTGCTTCGTATTATTAAATCAATACATTGTACTACATTCACCGGCTAAGGTAATAACATATCGTGTTAAAAAATGCAAACAAATGAAATGCGAAACTTTTGCTGAATACAATTTCACAAACACAATGTAACATTATAAATTGATTGTGCCATTGAATAGGACGCAAAGAGATTTAATTATGAATAATTGTGTTATATTGTTATTGGTAGTAATACAAAGTGGTGTATTAAAATCTTCACCAATAAAAGAAGATGACCATGTAAAAGATGAACCTCACACCAAGATTCTCGACTCTGTGCCTACAGTATCTTTAGAAGATCAACCAAAGCCGTGCTCCGAAGTTTCTAATAACCTAAATAATGAGGGACAAGGTAATATGAAACATAAAGTCATGTTGAAATTCCCTGCAAAGATGTATGTAAATAATCTACAATACGCCAATGAATATATGGTGACTATGCCGCAATCCGCGATGGAATATCTGACAGCAATCAACAGACAGTATCAAAACACGTATGTAAGGTCTTTGCCCGCATTGGATACGCTCCCTTCAGTCTACGTAACTCGACCTCGGATAACAAATTATTATGAAAGTAGAGATCCATATTTTTATGATACGGAGATGCGAAAACAAAAGACTGTATTCGTTCCCATACATTTAAGCCCCGAAAGGTCGACTTCTGAAGAGGAGTTTTGGGCTCAGCTATCTCAGGATTCTATTATGAAGAATATTATACCTACAATGGAGGTGCCATTGCAACGTGACCCGTATGGACAATATGAACAGTTAATTCGGTTGCCATATCCGTTAAGTGCTCAAGAATTGATGAGTAATAATGGCGTGATGGGCTATTACCCAGAAAACGAGTTACGCGCCTATGAGAACCCATTGCTATACAGATACAAAACTAAAGTTAGTTCAGAAAGTGACGTTTCTGAGGATTATCCTCAAACAGAAATGCACACTATGTAATGTAACGTTAGAAACAAAATATATATGGCATTCTTATAAATAATGTGACTAAGAACGAGTTGGATTCTAAATAATTTCAATAATGAACAAAATAAAACTTTTTTTTAAATAAAAATAAGTATGTTAAAATTAAATTGATGTTTTATTTCATATTTTAAATAACTTATGACTTTATATCCATAATAAAATAAAATAATTTTGTAACTTTTTACATGGAATGGAATAAAACTATTCTTGTTTTTGGTTAATATACTGTTTAGGCATAGACCAAAATATGGTTAATTTTGAAAAATGAAGTGTCAATCTATAGTCATCGATTTAAAGCTGTAGTTAATTAATTATGATTTCGTTTCAGACAACGCGACTTGTCCGCCGGGTGAGGTGATGGGCACCAACCTTCAATGCATCACCCGTCGCCGGACCACCATCACAAATGATTCGCTTTGGCAAAATTATGATCGTTAATTTACCTTTAGTGTAAGACTTTGATAAAATTAATAAATGGAGTAAAATATTTTTGGGTTTGTTATGTAAAAGGGAAAATAAGTAATCAGTCAAAATTAATTTTGATTACTAGCTGCCAACCGCGACTGCGTCCGTGAGGAATTAAAAAAACTTAATCAGAATCCTGTGTGTTCTTCCACACTATGTTTTACTATGCCAAATTTTAGCGATCCATCTAAAGATGCACATTTAATATCAGATATTATTACTATGAGTTAATTATCTTTCTTAGTAACATATCTGCAACATAAAGTAAAAAACGCAACAGAAACCACGTGCCTAAGTGATTCATTTGGATATTGACAAAATCGACATTCTGCTGTGCCAACCTTCAAGATATATCTTTTATTATTGTTATTAATAGCTTTACGATGGCATTTGATAGAAATAGTCCATTTTTCCACTAAAGATATCATACGATAAGATTAAAGGAAGGCAGTTTGATAAAAATTTTAAAAGTATTGTACTTAGCTGTAAGTAATATCGACAAAGGTTTGTTTGTGTTACATAAAACGCAAGCGCATGAGAGATTGCGAAATATATGCGCATGTGGCGCGATTTCTGAGAACGGTCCGATTTATTTGTCGAGGTTACCCTTCTTGAAACGATTTATTTTATATAGAGCTATGTTTATTTTATTTAAACAAGTATGAAAACATGTCAAAGAAACTAATAACTAACAATGTCATACCCAAAAAAAGACATTACAAAAGTTTAAATATATGAAACCATAACACAAAAACTACTGGATACTTTTTAATTTTAAAAACCATTCAAATAAAAAAAGAATTATAGAAATCGTACAACTACGGGTGTAATTATGAAGTAACAAAAAACATGCAAACTAATTGATAACCTCCTTTTTAAATTCGATTAAAAATAACTTTTCTATTCACTAACGTATCTGTAATGATAATATTATTTCCCCAGATCATTTTACTCTCAATTAGCTGGAATTGTGTTAAAACATAACTTTATTTTGTTATCAGCATTATGTTTTCCAAACCATTATCCTAAATGATTATCATGAAAACAGCCCAACAATAACAAAAGCAACTCTATTATAAAGACTAGATAAGTCTTTTAGTACTGATATTTTTCTAAATACAAAACAGTTCTGAAAACGGAGATAATATTAATTTTGTTGTTATGATATTAATATTTGTTATAATTCATTAAAGTGCGATGATGTAACAGTGGTAGAGCCCGCTTTAACATCTTCGCACGAATTGGCCCGGCTCGCCCGGTGAAATACCACGACCACACAGAAGACAGGGGTGAAGTGGTTGGTGGCAATTCCGCGTTTCATCTGATGAGTGTGCGTTCCGGAGGCCTAATTTAGTCCTCTTTCCCTTCCCACACTTTTTCTTATAAGGAAAGGATGGGAAGTGAAAGTGAACTTTCCGGATGAGAGGATGCATGGGAAGGGAAAATATTTTCTTTCTGTGCATCCTCTCCTCCGTCGATTAAAGGTAGGCAACGCATATGCAATTGTGTATGTCATGGGCAACGGTTACTTCGCTATTTCAGCGATTTCAGGTGGCCGCTCGCTCGTTTGCCACTTTATAATATAAAAAAAATGTTCATGCAGAGATTTTCTAATTTGTATAGCTATACTCAGTCGATTAGAACTCAAAACAATCCTGGTCAATATACGCAATAAGCATTCTTTTACAATTGGTCAACGCTTCAACACATCTAATTGAAATTTAGCACACATATAGAACTGAGCCTCGAGGAACAAATGAGATAATTTTCACCCCTTTTTTTAAATATGAAGCAGACAAAGTCGTGGGTAAAATTTAGTTTAATACTAAAGTTCAAAATCGACTTTCACAGTGTATCAATTATCAAGTCATGTTATATACATCACATGTGATAGAATTACTGGCATATTTGAGGCCTTAGTTTTTACAGGAATGTCGAGTGACGACGGGCACAAATAAATATTTAGTAATCATACAGATCAACAATATTATTCCTATATGAGATGACGTGAATGGGTTGGTCTTTTGACGTCACATGGTCAGACAAAAACCTACAGTCTGCCTGGTGCCTGCCACGTAGTGATTTGAAAAAATAAACACATTAGTTTAATGTAGTAGGGTTGTCAGGATATTATGCCTTAAATCCCAATTATATAAGTAGAATAGAGACTAGATTAGAATAGCCAATATTAGTTTGAAAATTATTAAATACTAGATGTCGTCCACGTGGAATAAAGAAAAAACTAAAGCCTATGTTTTCTTCTATACTATGTTCTATATGTATGCCAAATTTTATCGAGACCCGTACAGTCGTTTTGAACAAACCTTCAAACAAACATACATCCATCTATCGAAGCATTCGCATTTATAATATTAGTAACATTGTCTCCAATGTACTGTTGTCAATTTGTGGTGCCATTTATTTTATTATATTTAAAAGACACAGTTCATTTATGTACATACAAGTACCAGGGTAATGTCCTATGATAAAACTTTAAATCAATGTTTAGTAAAATCTATTCACAATAAAATGGTAATTCCAGTATGATACTGGCAGGCGGTTACCCGCAGCCCTATGACGTGTAAGTTTCACAGATAAAGAATATCGCACAGCATTTATAAGACGATCGACTGATCCTTATTTGGCATACACTTTATAACTCTACACTAGGTTGTTCGTGTTTATTATAATAATGTACCGACTAATACTAACAATTGTTGCTCTACTGGGAGTTGGAAATGCAAGACATATACACCCGTCAGAAACTAGAGATGTGGACCCATTGGTTTTAGAATCAAGCGTAATAATGGAAAGTGTACCGAATGTAAGTTTTTTTCTTATTTAATATTATTAATAAATTTATAGTGAGTTCGATCATTTACTTTTAAAGGTGGCAAATTTTCATCGTGGTAAACAGTTAGAATTGTTTGTTAGGGCACTAGCATGCATGTACCATAGCAGTTGTTCAGAAAGAATAATAAACATATACTTACTTCAGTTGACATGTTTTGATATGTAAATATATACTCATATCGTATTTATCTTTGTTTTCTTATCGAATTAAATAATACATTATATAATGTGCCTTATTTCCTAATGTCAATAATGTGTATTTTTGGTAATACATTTACATTTTTAGCCGACTTCTAATAGAAGGAGGTTATCAATTGGTCCGTATGTTTTATTTTATGTGTTTTACCGCGTAACTCCGCCCCACGTGCTCCGATTTTGATGTTTTTTTGTTTGAAATGTTTTGCTTGTTTAGTGATTAAAAGTGGTTGTCCAATTAATAGCTAATATTTTTTTAATAAACGTTTTATATATTTTGTTATAAGTTATGTACTTATTATTTACTTTTTTGCGTTGATTAGATGGCTCTACATGTTTTAAAGGTTACATACGTTTAACGTTTTTCATTAATAGACATATTAAAATTAAATGTTTTCTTTTTCAGGATGTCGCTCCAAACTATCAATCCAGTGGATTCGTGCCAATGAACAACATTTTATTCTTCAAAGTATTTCCCCCTTGCGAAGAAGGTTTCAGACGGGATATTTTAGGCGTCTGTAGAGAAGTGTGGGACTAAACTAAACTAAATATTTTACTATTAATTTCAGATAAAAATGTGATATTAATTATATAAGTTTTAGATTAAATAAGATTTCAAAATGTTTTAATATTATTTTTGTAATAATTTTGTATAGAAAAAGGAAAAGTGTCTAGAAAATAATAATTCTTATATAAATTCACAATAATTTATTTTTCTTTTGTAAAGCTGTGAATAAATTTATAACAGCACTGATATTAATTTTATTTCCATTTTGTAAGTTCAACTCTGAGTAGTAACTTTTGTACTACTCCAAACTTTGCATTTGAGTACACAATGTTTTTATACAGTCAATATAATAGTGATACTCCACTGCCATGACGATTGCGTTACATATTGTTATCTCTTTCATTCTCTCCGAGGAAAAAAGAGACAAGAAACACAACTGTCACGTCACTGGAGACTCACGTAACAATGTTGATAGAATATCTCTACATTTTATGTTCTCCTGGTACCATAACCTCTTGTGATGCAGATATTTGTCACATAAGTGAAGCAGGTGGTAAGGTAACAGCTCCATGGCCAGATAGTGGCGACGGCAGCGTTGCCACACCTCGGATCCAAGCACCACGCTCGCAACAGAATGATTCCACATTGCTCAGAGCTCGCATGTATATCGTTGTTACACCACCTTTAAAAGAATAAGGCCGTGAGGGTCTACTACCGAAATACTCATACATTTTGCTATTGTCTTTAAAAAAAACAGTACTTTGGCCAATAGTTAGTTACAACTTTATTAGTGGCAGACGCCAACATCTGTTGCATAAATGGGCCGACTCGACCCGTGCAATACCACGACCTTACAGAAGACAGACGTAAACTGAAAGTAATTCCGCGTCTTATCTGATGAGTGTGCGTGCAGATAGCCTCTTTTGATCCTCTTTGGATTTGACAGAGAAGAGAACGCATAGGAAGGAGAAATATTCTTATTCTGTGCGTTCCAACGTCGATTAAAGATACTAAGAAATTGCTTCCCTATTTCTGAAAATTCAGGTTTGCCACCTGTACATAAAAATAGATTTTGGAGGCCATGAACTCATCGACGTTAATAAGGTATCCAATCCAAAGGAAAGTTATGTCTATTTACTTATTAACACTAAAGTCTATGTCCAGCAGTTGTCTTGCAATAGTGGTAACATACAATTACGACATAACAGACCTATTATAATGAGCTGCGTTCCTAAATAAGCGAGTGCATGGCCGTGTCGGGGTATGGACATTTCTGTCTCCTGCTTCCACGTCCTATCCTTCCAGTCCCAGATGTCAATAGCACCAACACTACTAGGAGTTTTATCCTGCAAAATATTCAATTTTAGATACCTTTAAATACTTTAACTTAGATCACTTATCTAAGATATAAAAAGTGTACAATCGCCTTATCCTTTTTCGACTTATAAGTACTATAGAGCATGTCTGTGAACGTTTAATAAACCTTTATCGTCTTTTGTGGTTTAAATAAAAATATGGCAGTTCGTTCCAAAATATTGTTGCTCATTTAAAAATATTGGTTTAACAAAAATTCCTATATTTGAGCGGAAATTACAGATAGTGGAAAGCAAACGTCAATACTTAGGCAATATTTATATTGGCAGTACGTCATAGACCATCCTTAAATACTTTTATTGACACAAGTAACGATTACGACAAAGTTATCTGGCCTGGTGGGCAAAAGTGAAACTCAAGCCTGGTTTATATTATTCCAGACCAGCGATCAAAATCAACACTGGATTACAACTGGAAAAATGTAAACTCACACTGGAATGCACATTTTTTCGATAAAAAAGTAATAAACCTCATAACCGATACACTTTTAGATCGGGTAAAATTAATGCAAATAGATATAAAAACAAATTAAACATAAGCAAGATAAAAAAAAAACAGGTTCGAGATCGATTATTGGATTCGCACGTATTTTACATATCATATGTACGTACCTTTTCTGTTATCTTTCCCGCTCCTCCTATTATGTAAAGTTTGTCATTCATTGCGAACAGCGTTGCAAAACATCGCGGAAACCGAAGACTATAGATTTCCGTCCATCTGAAAATAATTATTATCTTCTATTACAAACATAAATCATAAACTTCCCCGGTCAATCTGACGTCATTGACATTCGTTTGTTTTATTACTTAGAAAATTCTTAGTAAATCTCACAAATGTCACTTGACCTCAAAACAAAACGATAGATTGTTGCGTCATTGCGGGCTTTACACATGACAAAATATTAAAAACAAACACGATATCATCAACTACATATCCTATCATTATTAAGAAGAATAAGTAATTTTTGTCTAAAACATCGGTAAGCTGATACTATGACCTCAAATTGGCGATAACATGTGGGGTATAGCTAAACAAATAAACGACAATGAGGCTCTGGATTTCCCCCAAGACTAATTAGATGATAGCCATGTTTCTCATGAAGTAATCTCCTTAGGGACTAGAAAGCAAATGTTTCAGTTTTATGAAAAGTAGGCATACTCATTTGTTTTAGAGTTATAGCACTCGACGACCTTGCAGACGGGGTTTTTCTTCTCGCCGGTCATGCCCCCGGCTACCCAGATGTACTCCCGATACTTGACCGCGGCCATGGCCATGCGCGCAACGCCCATCGACCGAACTTCACTCCACGACCCCGTCTTAGGGTCGAACCTCTCCACTGAACGCAGCACTCTACCAGAAATCAATATTAGTCACTGTTTTGAAAAGTAAAATGCAACAGAAATTGGCCGATAATTTTGGTTCATTCACCTGCCTTTCTTGTCCTGTCCACCAATAGCGTAAAGAGCCATGCGATGTACCACAAGACCGAAATTCTTCCTAGGTATGGCGAGACCAGATTCGCTGTACCAAGACCGTGTAACCGGTTCGTAACTCCATACTGTCGAGACTACCACTGACTTGCCACGGGTGTCGTCATCGCGTGGGTCTGCACCACCTTTATAAGTGTAACTACATAATAAGTATATTTCTACGTCATGGAGCTGCACAGATGCAGTAAGGTTTTATGTAAGTAGGCAAACGACAAAGAATTTTAAACATGTCCCACATGCACATTAAAATTTAATTACCCTTTTCGTCATCTTGGCCATACACAATATTTAAAATGAAAATGCAATTACCAACAAGATAGACTCTCCCTCTTAGAAACGCCACAGAATGGTGGTGCCTCGGCTCTGGTAAGTCACCGACGTAATCCCAGGAATTTGTGACCGGATCAAACCTATAATAACGCAAAGCTTAGAATATTAAAAGTCACTATAAATTGATAATTTGTTATGAATTGCATATTTTTGTATTATTATATCCTTTGTTCATATTAGTGTTATAATAAATTAAGATCGTTTCTATTTGCACAGAGTATAAACACATAGAAGCCACACCTGTAAATATCTTTTCCAGTATTCCGACCAACTCCGTACCCTGTGTGGGGATCGGTGCCTCCAAACACCAGAACAGTTTCGCGGTCCCAATTAAACAATGAACCATCAACTATATACGTTTTGTTTGATGGACCAAGAATCGACGTTGATAACTTATTCCTAAAAATTAAAGAATATAAGAACCAATTTTAAACGTTGCCGGCTTAAAATACTATCGAAACAAAAATGGTACTTTTTTAATGAAACCAAAAATGGGTTTGATTATACCATAGTTGATAAGTAAGTGACTAACATATTGATTTTGGCAAGAGACTCTTTAGATTGGTTGAAGAGTGAAACTTGAGGGCTGGCAATGACATTCTGTGAAGTGGGCCCCGTAGGCCGCGGCGACTGCTCAGGTCGGGAGGTCGACATTGTAGTTTGAACGCGGGATCCTGATGTTGGAGATGTTTGTGATTCTCTGCAAGAACAAGAAAACAATGAATAAAGATTAATAATATTTACTTGAACTTCATTTAATTTATGACAAAACATGATGGTATTGAGGAGTATATGTGAATCTATTAGGGCAGTAGTTTCCTTCGGAGTATTACCTTCTAGAACCAGCTAGAGCGGCAGTGGCAGCAGCTAGGTAGCAGGCCGCCACACTGTTGTGTCTTGTGTCGCAAGTCTTGTTGATGTATTGAGTCTAAACGGAGAAACAAAGGTAAGATTTTTAAGGATAAAATAAGATTACTGTAACTAACAATACAGAGATTGCAATCCTTTTAATGCTTATATTTAAATAGTTAATCATAATACAAATCTCTAAGACAATTTGTAGAATTGTTTACATAAAACAGGTACGGCCTTCATCTCATCTCAATACTTTTGTTTAACCATTTACCTTTTCAGAATATCTCGTATCAATACTTTCACTGCTGGTAACACTTTTGGTGGTGTTGAAATTATCTGATGAGTCCTTTTCAGGCGGCTCATATATTTGCGCATGCTGCTGTGGTAACTGCAAGAGGTTCAAATACTTTTTAATGTGCTCTATTCCATAAATTCAAAAGAGTTAACTTCCCTATAAGAATGATGTCAAGATAATAACAAACATTCTTCTCTAGACTTGATTAACAATATTTTCCAGTAGATAAAAGCTATAAATTAATGAATTATATATGAAATTACATTTGGTCCCGGTAATGTGGCCGTTTGTATTTGTTGGACTTGTTTTTGGATCAAAGTTTGATTGGCTAGAAACAATCGTGGCTCCTAAAACAAAAAAAAATAACTTAGTTATGACCTAAGAGTCTAAACATCAAAAGCTATGCCTACACGTGAACAAACTATGTTTTGTTTGTTTTTCATTAAGTGTATTGAGCAATATTGCTTATTGCGCAAAATTAAATACCGCAGCAGTGAATAACGATGACAAAATGTAGTTAAATAGAAAAGCAACGAGTAATTTACTAGGCGCTACATTGCACTCATATTACTCGTTATTTTGTAGTTAAAACTGGAATACATAAAAACAATTGAAAAAAAATCCAATGTACATTTGGTTCGATTTGTTTCTGTGACTTGCGTTCAGGTTCGGGAGTCTTCCTCGAAGTTTGCGGAGTTGGTTGGCTTATTGTCGGCAAACACTCAGAGCCCTGGTTAGGCGATCGTATCGGTGATCTCGTCTGATTTGCTTCTTTTGTCTGTGGTTAAAACATGTAATTAACGTAACAGCCTTGGAATTCTGATCATAAATGTAAAAGGTTTTAAACAACGTTACATATATTTTGTTTTTGTTTTTATTTCTACGAAGAAAAAAGTATGAAGGTAAAATCTTTTTTGTAGTTATTATTTTTTTAACCTGTATATTTTATTCAAAAGATAATAAGAGTGAGCAAATACGATTTTCAAAATTAATTTCAAAAATGTAATGTAAATGCTATGTACCTTTCGCCTGTTTTCAAAAAATTCGCTCATCGTCGGAAATGATTTGTCCTTATCCCCGCCAAGTCCCTTTAATGTACCAGGTAGAGGGAATTCCATCTTCGGTCTCCTCATATCCATTTTATCGGCATCCAGTCCACGTAAAGTGCCTGGTAATATAAAAAAGATTGTAGTGAGTTTAAATTATTGCCGTTATATTAAAGTAGACGCTTTTCTTTCTATGATAAAGTCAACATATAAAGTCAACATTTCAATATTTAACTGAAGGCTTGAAATCATATAATAATTTCTACTTTCATAATTGCCACGTATGAATCACAAGCTGGTCAAAGTATTTCTCAATTATTTACATACTCGGCAAGTCATCTGTTCTTCTCGGTGGTTGCATCATCGACATTTGTTGATACATCTGCTCTTTCGGGACCATGAAGTGTTCCAGGTATTTTAGGAAATCTTTGTAAGTGACGTGATTCTGCAACGTAAACAAATTGTTCATCGTAATAGGAAAGATGGCCTGTTCATCGAAATATTGTTAATATAGGCAAAGTATCAAATTTTCCTTACTAATTTACAATTAACACGTTGAGCGCCACGGTAGCCATCGGTGGCTGACACTCAATTTTCTGTTTAGGTCGCATCAACCATCGGTGGCTGACAGCGTGTAACATGAAAACTATAAAATTTTACACTATTTTGCGTTAAAAATGTAAACTATTTTGTACTGCGATCTGAAACACCGGCACTTTAATACCAGTGCGTATAAGCGGCGCTCGGGGCCGGAACGTGATTGTCTTAGAAATACGCGTGGCGATCAACGTGTTAACAAATTTCACGCTTCTGAATCTATGATGCCCTGCCATGCAAGGATGGAATTTACAATGATTATTGTAAATGTTTACTATGTTTCAAATCCCCGGCCTTAACTTTTGTATTTGGAACTTTGATTTGGTAAAAATATTTACCGTCGCAGTTAAGAACTAATAAGAAGAAACAACCTTGGTCCTACATTAGCAAACATGCATCTCACGATTCCAACATCGTGTCAAACACACAGTAAGCAATATAAAGTGTTAATCAAATTACATTAGAAGAATATAGACTATTAATTTGAATTCCTTTCAACAACTAGTTGTGAATTAATAAAAATTTACTTAGCACCTTTTCTTCGCCTATCCAGTTCCTTTCGGCGGGCTCGGAGAGTCCGAGGACGTCGATCCAATGATAATAGTTCTTGGAATTGTTACCGTACCAATACTTTATGATAACATATCTGTAAAATATTTATAGTAGCATTAAAAATAGAAAAATGTTTGTGCAAATTGTGCATGTATTCTGTTAAATAGGTAGTTTTTACAAAAAAGTTCGATGAATCGCTTCCATTTTATTAGTTCAACGACTTTATCAAAATATTTGCGCACGGAACGAGGTCAGGGATCGTCTGCAGCATTAGCGTTAATAAAACTAATCTAGAAAATATTATATCCGAACGAGGCAAAAAAAGTCAAATACACACGCCAGTCCATCATCAACCATCTGTTGTACTTCAGGCTCATTAACTATTTCTAATATCTCAGCGTTGTCGGGGTTCCGTTTGATGTCGACAAGCTGCCAGGGGGAGATGAGACCGAAGCGGATGCACCGCATGATGTCCACTACCAGTCGTCTTCGCGCCGGCCAGTTGCCGTACAGCCACCGAACACCAGCCATTAGTACTTCTATCTCGCTAAATTTCATAATATTTCATAAGTAACCTCTACCTTCTTTTTCGGCCTTGGATAGTCAACTGTTTTATTTACTTAGGTTTTTCTCATTTTTAAAAACATATCTATACCGTTATCTTTTCATAATTAATTATATATAATCATATTAATTGTGTTTAAAATAAAATACAAAGAGTTAAGTAAAGTTTCAAGTGCTTATCATATGCAAAGGCGAAAATTACATTTCAAGTATCCTTTACTAAGAACAGTTGTGCTTCAACAGCATTCAAGAGGGCTTACCTTGTAACGCAAATGTAATTCGATTTAAGAAACGTCATAACCTCATCCGGTTCCAATTCAAGAAAATCTCTTGAAGCGACCAGCGGTAGAAAAAATCTCATCACGCGAGGAACCTAATAATATTAATGTATTTTATCAAATCGTAAAGCAAAATAAATAAAACTAGGAATATATTTACCATTATGTCCATTACAGGTGACATCCCTTTCGATCTAGCTTCTCTATATAAAGCGAAGGCTGTATCTTCAGTAAATAATTCCTCGTGCACAATAAAAGACCAACATTGATCTTCCAAATCTAATTTTAAATTAAATATTTCAGTACCAAAGTCCGGATATAAAGAGAAAAACCAATAGACAAATCAAATATAAGAAAAATATAGTAACCTTTTACAGCTAGATATTGAGCTGCGCAGAACAATTCCAAAATATTTTCTCTCTTGAGAACTTTATTACTTTCTGAATTACTAAAAATCATCCATTCATAAATTATTTGAAACGCTTCAGGTGTTACGCTTGACTAGAATTTTAAACAAAAACAATAATTAAACATACATTCCTCGTATATTACTTAATTCTTATATTTTTTATTAACATTTACAATCGATATAATATGTAGGTGATGGAAGGTTTCGTACCTCATAGGAAAAAAACGGAACCCTTGTAGGATCAATTTGTCGTCCGTCCGTCTGTCAAGACCCTTTTTTAAAAACCGTTTGATATATTGACATCTAAAGGTAACTTTGATTCTACGTGTAAACATTTGAATATCAATCTTCTATTACTTAAATAAGAGATAAGTATCAAGACTTGTACTTACTATAGGTAATTCTATTTCACGAAGATTGTTACTGTCGAAAAATGATGAATATATTTGAAGAACTATTTGATGACAATGGAATTCCTCGTCACCAATATGGATAATTGTGTCCGTGTGGCTAAAATCACAATTACACAAAGATTTATAAATATCAAAGAACCCTGACAGTACGTTATTTTATTTCAAAAATAGATTTTTTCACCAGCATTCTAAACTTGTCTAGACTGAGCGTCGGTGGCTCAGGGGTCTAGCACTTGACTTGCAATCTGCAGACCCTGGGTTCGAATCCCACCATGTACCAATGTGTTTTTAGATTTCCGATTTACATATGTACATTTATCCGATGTTCTTACGGTGAAGGAAAACATCGTGCAACCTGTGCATATCTGAGAAGAGATTCAAAGATATGTGTGAAGTCAACCAACTCTCACTTGGCCAGCGTGAACCTATGGCATCGTGACCCCTAACTTAGGGTAGGCTCCGAGTTCCTCAGTGGGGACCTATAGTGAGCTGATGATGAAGGTTCTAAACTTACATGTAGTTTAATATTCTGCGATAAAATTCCTGAAATAAATCCTGTTTTTTCGGCAATTGTACTCGACTCCAATCTATAGGTTCAGCAATTGCATATCCAAGACTGCCCAAGTCTTTACCATGCTCTTCTCTTATCACCGGTGCTTTTGGTTTAGAATGACGTTCAGTGACCGCTTTTAATCTCATATTTATAGACTCTTTATGACTATATTTCACTTGTGTTTCTGAATCATTTTCATCGGTCTATAACAAATCATTCTTAGTATTATAATTCTGCTACTTGAGTAACTTATTGACTAAGATAATTGTTACTAACATAATTGTTTTCTATTTTATTTTCCGGTTCACCAGCAGCTTTTCCTTCAAATTTAACTTTAACCTTTGCTTGAGTTGGGTCTGCTAGTAACACTCCGACAGTTGAAGATTGGAAAACGACCTGTTAGAAAACATCGGACACCGTCCGCGTGGAATTAAAAATAAACTTAATTACAAGCCAATATCTTCTCTAGAATATGGTCTACGTATGTGCAAAATTTCATCAAGATCTGCTGAGCCGTTTCAAAGGTAACTTCAAACATCCATATCCATACATCCACCTAAACTTTTGCATTTATAATTTTAATAACAATTGTTTATAAATATTACGTTACACGTTGACTATGGCCTAATCACCCTTAATTTAGGGTAGGCTCCGAGCCCCTCGGTGGGGGCGTTTAGTGAGCTGATGATGATGATGATTACGTTACATACCTGATTAGATTGTACTTTTAGATTCCCACTTGGTGTAGATTTAAATGGAAAAGCAGCTATCCTCTGTACACTCATTTCATCAGTACTACACACACTGAAATCATTACGTTGATTATCCAAATTATTCAATCTAAATGAAATTGAGTATAATTTTATCGGATACCTTGAGTTTTCTGCACAAGAGGATATATTATGATCTGGATCATAATCGTTTGTCCCTTTTGAAATCGGCTCCGGAGACATTTCTATTTTCTTCTTAAATTTTCTAAATTTAAAGTTTTTATGACATAAAAAACATCAAAAGTTATGGTGAAAGAATTGCAATATATGAAGAAAAGGACTTTATTTAGAAGAAGTAATTAGCATTACTTAAAAGAAGGACTTGATATTGTATTTGTAATTACAATTTGCTTACTTTACTTTATTATTCCACGACATGTATCGGGTGTCAAGGCTATGGTATATATACGGTCTGCAAGTGTCCCCGGAACAGTTTTGGCTGGATAGTTGATTGGCCCGATTTAACAAATTACTGGAATTCTTGATAAAATCTAATGCTGAAACCAGGTTGAATTGATATTCATCATATTTCTCATGGCATATAATATTCTGCTTTTTGAAGTATCGGAAACTAAACTATATTACTTAAAGGAACTAGGCAATACGGATAAAGGTTAACAAGATGTGTTCTCTTTGTAATTGCAGTCACTTAATGCATGTTTCCGGCGTATTATTTCTATTTCACAATAATTGTTACTGTCAAAAATGATGAATGTAAGAAGAAAACTGAAGAACAATCTGATGGCTAAACGTAGTTTCTTGACTTTTAATTTTTAGTATTGTATTTAGGTGAGTTATGGTTACTGGAACTTACTAAAGTCACTAGAATTAGTAGCAAGATCCGATAATGAGCTGCTCCTTAGAAGTTTTGGCTTAACAGTTATGTGATATCTTTCGAAGATATTGCCGAAATTGTTACGAACTCTTCTTTTTGGCCTATTATAGATGAAAAAACTATATACAAATTAAAGTAACTCAATAACTGAAGATAACGGGTTCCACGAAACTATTCAGCGTAAGTTAGAACTATTTAATAAGATTGAAGAAATAATATAACTTAATAATTAATTAAACCAGCAGAGATCAGGTTAAGAAGTCAGAAGGAAATTAAAAATTCCAAGAAGAAATAAACAGTGCTGTACGATAAAGAGAGAAGGATTAGAAAAGGAAAGATGGGGTTCGAAGCATTTGTTGATTAACTTACTTGCGAGCGATTTGTGCACAGTTTTCACTTGCATCAGAAGCTTGTTTCGCAACGTTTACCTGTTTTATCACAGTAAATATATTGATTACGGAATCAAGTTATTTGTGACTACAGAAAAATTTATTTGTATTTGATAAGACAATCTTTATTTACATGTTCCAAAACTTACCTTTTCCAAACTTTTGCTCTTTTGCATTTCAAGCTCGCTAAACGAGTAATAAATAAATGTTGACCATATTGCGTATATAATTGTCTTCAAGGTTATTAGAAATAACCAAAACTCCCTAAAAATTTTTGACAATTGCTGTATGTGACATTTGGTAAAAACGAAAGTCAAGTTTTAAATATGTTCTAAACTTTGACAAACATTTGAAGTTATTCCAAACATTATTGACACTATGGTAATAAGTTTAAGGTTTTTATCAAACAGAACGAATATATTTTTACATATATGTTTTTTTAACAATGGACCCTTCGATTATTAAGCCCAAGTAAGTGTAAACAATTCCGCTTTTCAAATAACCAGAGCTGAATGTATTGATTAAAGCAATAAAAGTCATGTTAGATAAATACTTAGCTATTTATGTATTGAGGCTAACGTTATCCAGATTAAACAATTTCAAAGTTAAATCGAACTAATATTATGCGGCATGTAAATAAAAGCGAGTGTTCATCGGGAATATACCATCACGGCTATACACCAAAACACCAACATGAAAGTATAGCGACCTAATACCAACACGCCGAATAGAACAGAATTTCCGAAGACAGTGTTTTTCTTAAACCTTCTTGTAAATATTTGTGTCTGTATTATGGCTTATAATAAATATTGGTTATGAAACTAAGATTTAAATAATTTATTGCTCGACCTTAACGTCAATTTAAAGGACCCTTCACACATAGCGAAGTATTGACGTAGTTGATAGAATTTATTGGAAGCCTTTACGGATGGATAATATTTGTACTGTAGCAAAAAACCCAAGATAAGGATTTTACGATATTGTAATATGTCAAACCTATTTTAAATTGTTAAGAACTGATTTTATATGGATTTATTATATCGTGACAAGTAATCTGATGCAAACCCTACTTTTCTTTTTGCTAATATTTTGTTAACGCATACTGTCTTTGCTAATTCAGGGAATGAATTGGAAGGACAACCTTCTTCTTTTTCTTCTAATGCCTCTCCACTACTGGAGGTTGGCTGACAGCTCAGCGAACCCTTTCCACGCCCTTATTAAAAAAAAAATCAAGCTTTATCGGCTATTAGGTCCGAAACAATGGAACAGATATAAATACATACATATTTTATATATTATAAGGTAGCAAACGAGAGAGGGGCCACCTGAAATCGCTGAAATAGCGAAGCGACCGTTGCCCATAGACATACGCAATCGCATATGCTTTGCCTACCTTAAAACACAACTGCATATATGTTAAGAATATTACTTTTACGTCGGAAAAAAATTGTTACTAAGTAATTAGTCCGACGTAAGATTCTAATCGATTTAACTTAGTTCACCTTGATAACTGATATCAGTATTATGCTCATGTTTTTATGAGTAATGTAATTCTTAGTGTTTAGTACTTCAAACGTTATCTATCCTTGAGAAGCGAATAGTCTTTATTCCTTTATATCTATAACAATATGTTATTCGCTTCATCATCAGCTCGCTATACGTCCCCACCGAGGGGCTCGGAGCCTACCCTTACTCAAGGGTGATTAGGCCATAGTCAACCACGCTGGCCAAGTGCGGGTTGGTTGACTTCACACATATCTTTGAATTTCTTCTCAGATATGTGGAGGTTGCATCACGATGTTTTCCTTCATCGTAAGAACGTCGGATAGATGTACATATGTAAATCGGAAATCGAAAAACACATTGGTACATGGCGGGATTCGAACCCACGACCTGCAGATAGCAAGTCAAGTGCTTGACTCCTGAGCCACCGACGCTCAATTGTTTATTTATTTTGCTAAGATTATCTGTCTTTGCCTTTTGCCAATTAATTGTGGTCGGCATTCCTCGTTCTAATTTCCTAAATGGCATGATTACTTAGATAATTGTTCATCTAGGTATATTTCTTTCAGTTCCTTTTGGACCGTCGTAAACGAAGTGGTGGTCTTCTACTTATAAAAGGTCTTTGGAACTACGCATTTTTTCAAGATTCATAGTGATTTTGTACTTGCATCGTTTTATCATTTCTTTGTAAGTGTGATAAAATTCATCGAAAAATAATATACTATTACTCATTATTGCAACATACAGTTAAATTTAATAAAATACAAGTCTTTAAGTAAATAGATTAAAAGGATATTTTCCTCTTCGTACAGGATGTGATATCATTAAAGAATGTTTATTGAATAAGCTATAACTTTATAGGCATGATATCGATTTTTATCAAACGTGTGAAATAAAAAAAATCCTCATTTGATGTTATAGTAAATTTCCAAGGTAAGTCAGGAACTAATGATGGGAGTGTAGTGAGTCATTGTGACGTTCTAGGTGCACCTACGTACGTAAGAGATAAATCCGTGAGCTGTTTGTTATACTTAAGCCCGTAGTCGTGGATGTAGCACCATTAGTTCACTAGACGTTGAACATAGCAATCGTGAACGTTTTTATCGAAAATTTGGACTTGTAACAGATAAAACACATTAAATGTAAGTAAAATTTTATTATAAATTAAACAATATTTTATTTTTTAAAGTGTAGTAAAGGATGTGTAGTTATTTGTGTGAAAGTGTTTTTCTCTTTTATTAGATACTAGCGGTCGCCCGCGACTCCGTCCGCGTGGATGTATAAAAATCTTAATATATAGATAAGTTAAATAAAAAGCAGCTCTTCAAGGCATAAATTCAAAAAAAAATAGTATCCTATGTCCGTCTCCTGGGTCTAAGCAACCTCCTCACCAATTTTCAACCATATCGATAAAACCGTTCTTGAGTTATAAATAGTGTAACTAACACGACTTTCTTTTATATATGTAATAGATTATTTATTTTTTAATTTCTACCATTTGTGTCCATTAAGTTTGTACCAAAAGAGGAGTTGGTTAATTTTGTTTCCAATACAGTAAAAGTTTTGAGAAAACAGACTATTAACATCGAGTTTGACTTGGGTCAAATATTTCTGAAAATAATATTAAGAGTTATTCAGGCACTAAAAAATATGTTTTCTAATTTAATGATGTTTAAAATTATAATACATTTATTTAGTTTTTGGACTAGATTTTTATGGTCAGGTAATTTACCCTATGTGGTCCGTTAAATTTTCTGAAAGCACTGCAAGCGATTGCGCTAATCATCATCTTGTGGTAGTGACTTTGCGTAGGTGCTTCTAAAGTACAGTAATCTATTTAGTTTACTTCGACTGTATAACTTTTCGTGACAATAAGTTCTTTTTCTTTTTCTAGTGCCTCTTCAGTCTTGAAGGTTGGCCGCTAACTTGGAATATTTGGTTCTGTCAAGCGCAATGCGAAAGTTCGACAACATGATATTTCGCGAGGATATCTAATCTGTCAGGATTTATCATTAATTTAACATGTTCATAGACATAGTACAGGAGATTTCAATTTGTTTCTAGCCGGATCTTTTAAGCTATTAAAATTCTATTAGAGGCTATTCTAATATTGTAATAGCAAGGATATTTTTTATTCATACGATGATATCGACCTTGGTTGTAAGAATCTTAAATAGATCATGCGGAGAGTTATTGCTCTTTATATTTTTTACTTGTACAAAGTAAAAAACTACGAAACAATTTTGACAAGATAATTTGACATGAAGCGAATGAACTATTACAATTTAGTAGCTTAATAATTTTGCAAATATTCTGGGTTCAATTTGAAACTAATAAAATAGCATGATCAAGTAATTATGAACACTTGAAACATAAATGTAAAATAAAAAATTAATGTTGGCAGACAAACAGATAGACAATAAAGCGATCCTATTAGGGTTCCCATTTTTTTTTCAAGATACTGAAACTGGACTTTGTTAAAAACAAATTAGAGTTTCTTTTATGTTTTTAACGAAATGCTCGATGACACTCATTATCGGAAGTAGATAGTTATGTATTGAGTAAAAACAATTTCAAGATAAAGAAATTTATAAGCAATAAAATATGTTTTGCCATTTATCGAAAAAAGATATATGAAAATTGGGAAAAACAAATCGTCATGGAAAATATATTTTGTTATTCGGACATAAAACTTATCAGTTCCGATGTTTACTGAAAATGACGTCAAGTTTCATATCTTGTATTCTTCATAATTCTGTATGCAATCCAATAATTTTTATTTATTTGGTATTTTTTTTAGAATGGCTGACGCGGACCGTGTTGTTTACCCTGATGAAGTTGAGGAAGTTAAAGAAGAAGTAATGCAAGAGAAAACTGTTGAAAAAAGCGAGGCAGTTCCAGAACCACCCGTCGCATCTGGTATACAGATGCGTAACATGATTTCAGTTCCATCAAACTGTCCGCCCGGGTACAAAATGGGCGCCGATGGAGTTTGCAGAGAAGTCTTCAATTGAAGAACAAAGTTACTTACGCTTATTTGCCGCAATTTAAACCTTTAAATGATACACTAAGGGACTGTTTAAGGAAACATTAAATGTTTTGAATGCGGCTGTAGGCATTATATTTTTGAGTTACTAATGTTAGGCTCTCTTGAAATTTTGATTATATTCTTAGAGCCTTTATCTTCCTTGTTTAAGAAGAAAATTCAATTGTTTAAGTTAAGTTTAGTTTTTAAAGTGTACTAAATTATTTGTCTCAGTATTATTATGTTCCTGTTTATTGTAAGTATTGTTCAAGGTGGATTAATAGTACAATGAAGTATTAAAATAAATTTTTAAGTAATACAGTTTTTGTTTTCTTTGCCTTGATTTATTTCTAGATTTTTATAACTATTGTGTCTGAACATCGATAACTATTAAGATGGTTTAGTCTAAGTCGATAGAATCTTGCTCTCGAGAAGTTCTTATTAATGAATAAAATTCATTTTTACGTATTGTGTCGGAATATGTTTCATTTTGTCTTGACGTTAAGGAATCGACAACAGATATGTATCGACAATTATAATAAAAGTCATTGTTTTTCTAATAATTAACGATCATTTACTTTAAAATACTCATATAATTACACAATATTCTATTATTAAATAATTATCACTAATTTAAAAAATTAAATAGTTTATTTAATTCCAAATTAAAATAATATCAACTACGTAAATTATAAATAACCTAAAGTAGCATAAGTTTTAACAAATGGAGCGTCACTCTCGCACGAATTCCTGGAAAAAAGAAAAAATATGTTAGTA